ATAATATAGGGTTTTGATAGAAAGAAGAGATAATAATTAAAAATAAAAAAGGCAAAATTTTAATAGCAACTTATTTTTGCCCACGATATTCTAGGTCCACAATGTTTTACATCAATTTTTTATACATAGAGAATGTCACGACCCAAACATACTCCCTGGATGTAACCGACACTTGAGAACCATTATTGGTCCCTCAAGCGAACCCTCATCTTGGCTGACTACAAGCAGAAGACTAACTTGAGTATACATAAACATCAAATTGAAAGAAACATATAAAAACAGTCTACTAAATCTCAAAACTTCGGTTAATAAACTGAGTATGAATATAAGTTTAAATAAAATATCTTAAAACTGAAAAACTCTCTAAAACTGTCTATCTATGAAGCCTCTACTATACAAAGATGAGTGTTGGGACAGGACCCACGACTCCTCAAAAGAGCTACTACTAACAACTCATTAACCTAGAGTCCTCCGAAAGCAAGGAGACCTTACTTGAAAGCTGATGAGCAAATGAAGTGATCTCAACAGACTCTTGTTGAGGATCCTATGAACTCGTATCTACATCATTAAAAGATGAGGGTCGAATGACATCAGTACATTTGTCACGACCCAGACCGTTGTGATTGGCACCCACACTAACCCTCCGGTGGGAGAACCATTACTACAACCCAACTAAGCAACTTAACGAAAACTACAACATTTAAAGAATTGAAAGCAGGTTTAAATGTCTAAAGAAAAATGGAGTTCCTATAAACTCCGAATGTTTAACAAAACAACTACCAAAATAATTGCGGAAAACAACTCCTAGAACCTGAAAGTCAATGTACCAAAACTCTACTAACGACAAGTCTAAGAACAAGGGGGGCAACCCGAACAAAGCCTAAGAAATATCTAAAGCACTAGTCTAAGTCCGAAGAGAACAGACTAAAAAAAAGAGAACTCATGGCATCCTAGAAGAACTGGTTCACCCTTGAATCCGGTCTCGATCAATTATCTCCTAAAGGAGGTCTGTCAATAGCCGCCTAAAGATGCCTTGTACTCAACAAAGAAAGAGCAAATGCAATATCAGTACACAACCACACTGTACTAGTAGGATAACACAACTACTCCCATAAACACAATATACAACGAACAATCACAACACAGTAAGAACACATATACATAATACAATTCAGTTATTGTTTCATAGCAACATACAGTCTTCCATTATCAATGACAAGTAGACATAAACATAACAATCACAGTAGCTCTCTCATGGAACCCATACCCAAACTTTTAATGTGTCAAATCGTGACACCTGATACAATGCATGTGTCGAAACGTGACACCTAGTCCAATAAATGTGTCGGAATGTGACACCTGATCCAATATATGTGTCGAAACGTGACACCCGATCCAATTAGCACAACCACAATCACATCCATAATGAACAGTACTCCAATCATACAATAGAGTAACATGTTCATGGCATGTATTGTTCACACATAATCATTTCATGAAGTTCGATTTACATTTTCCTATTCAGATACACGCATGCATACAATATAGCAATCATTCGACATATATCACACAAACAGGAAATCAAATCATCACCTACCTCGAAACCAAGTTTGAATCCTCCTAAAACATTTGAGCCTTCCCTTTCTGGATTCTTTTCACTTGTGTCTACAAACGATTAATATAACGCAAGGCTCAATAATTAAAGTCTAATTTATCTGGATTATAACAAACCCAACCCAAGACCAATCCCATGATCCTAAAGTGCAGCTAGGGATTTTTCCACCATTAACTTCAGGCCAAAACCCTCCCCCAATGATAATTACCCACGAATCTAAGTTCTACAGATCAAATAATGGATTAGGGGAGTAAAATTATTACCTTTAGCACCAAAAGTCGAGGAAACCTTTCAAGAAATCATCTTGGGCCATCTTCTACCTCTTAAGAATGAAGTTTGCAGAAAAATAATGAAATTGGGTTTTTCCCCGACTTAAGTTGCGACTGGCCTGCTACGACAGACCCCAACCCGCCACAGCGGCTCCACCCTAGAGGGAATAATTCCACCCCGGCGGCTTGTACGGAGACAGAAACTCAGAATTTGAGTTCCAAGCTCCCATTTAAACAGCACACCTTCTACCCTTGACGTTCAGAAACTACCTTTTCATGCCAGGATCAGTTTCAGGAGTTCTACTTGCTCGAACTTGATTACGTAAAGTTGCACGGGCTCCCTATCCACTCATATGATCACATTCATAGTTAAATCCTCCATTCACCACCAGATTTCCCTAGACCTCACCTGACTCAGATTTCGTCCAGATCTGGACTAGGCTACAATTTTTGAAGTCACTACTCAAAAGTTTTATGGCCCCAATTCTTTCCCATTGGATTTTCCATAACGACGGGAACATGTCGTTATGATAAGTACTAATTTACCCATCACTCATCCCCGTGTGCCAAACTAGGAAAAACTGGCTAAAGGATACTAATTTACCCATCACTTATCCCCGTGTACCAAACTAGTAAAAACTGGCTAAAGTAAGAGTAGAGTAGTACCTGAATTATCGAATAACTGGGGATACTTGTCTTGCATGTCCTTCTAAATTTCCCAAGTAGCTTTCTCCACTTGACGATGCTTCCCTTAAACTTTCACGGACATAATCTCCTTGGTCCTCACCTTCCAAACATCATGATCAAGAATTGCAATTGGTTCCTCCTTATACTGAAGGTCATTGTCTAATAAAATAGAGTCCCACTTTATAATGTAATATCCATCCCCATGATACTTCTTCAATATGGACACATGAACTCCAGATAAGCTAGGAGGTAAGGCCAATCTATAAGCCACTGGCCCTACACAGTCAAGAATCTTAAATGGACTAATGTACCGAGGACTAAGCTTTCCCTTCTTACCGAATCTTATCACCCCCTTTATGGGTGACACTTTTAGAAGAACTTGCTCACCAGCCTGAAATGCCATTCCCTTACCTTACGGTCAACATACTTTTTGTGTCGACTTTGGGCTGCTAGAAACTTAGCTTGGATACTTCTCACTTTATCCTGAGCATCTTTCACCAAATCAACCCTCAAAGGTTTCACATCTCCAGCCTCAAACCACCATATGGGTGATATACATCCCCTCCTATAAAATGCCTCGAACGGTGCCATGTCAATGCTGGAGTGGTAACTGTTATTATAGGAGAACTCACACAACATTACGAACTTATCCCAATGCCCTCCAAAGTCAATCACACTTGCCCTCATTATGTCCTCTAACACTTGAATAGTTCTCTCTGACTGCACATCTGTGTATGGATGGAAAGTTATGCTAAAAGTGAGTTGAGTGCCCAACTCATCATGCAATTTTCTCCAAAACTTTGATGTGAACTGCATACCACGGTCAGAAATGAATGAGAGAGGATCCCCGTGCAGCCTCACTATCTCTTTCACATTAACCTTAGCTAACTGTTGAGCATTATATTCTACTCTGACTGGAATAATATGAGCTTCCTTAGTAAATCTGTCAACCACTACCCAAATAGAATCAAACTTCCCGAAAGTCTTGGGAAGACCAACTAAGAAGTCCATAGCTATCCTTTCCCACTTCCATTTCGGAATTGGCATTTGCTGAAGCAATCTTGCAGGCTTTAGTGTTCATACTTTACCTGCTGACAGTTTTGGCACTTACCCACAAATTCAGCTATGTGTTTCTTCATGCCAAACCACCAATAAAGTCACTTCAAATCTCGGTACATCTTGGTCACACCCAGATGAATTGAATACCGCGAACCATGGGATTCTGTCAATATTTTCTCAATTAAGTCATCTACTCGGGGAACACAAATTCTCCCTTTAAAACTAAGCACACCTCCCGCATTGAGAACCACATCTTGTGACTTACCATACACTGTCTTCTTTCTAAGCTCATTCAAATTCTCATCCTCAAATTGTTTGGCTTTAATCTTCTCAATGAACATGGGTCTAACCTCAATGCTAGCGAACACCCCACCTTTCTCTGAGATGCTTAATTGCATGAACTTAGACTCCAAGGTCTGAATCTCCTTGGCCAAAGGTTGCTTGGATACACCCAAACAAGCTAGAATACCCATACTTACTGCCTTTTGGCTCAAAGCGTCTGCCACCACGTTAGCCTTATCCGAATGATACTGGATGGTGACATCATAATCCTTAAGTAACTCTATCTACCGTGTCTCAGGTTTAGGTCCTTTTGAGTAAATACATGCTGCAAACAACGATGGTTAGTAAACACCTCACACTTGACACTATAAAGGTAATGACACCAGATCTTTAGGGCAAATACTATCGCTGCCAACTCCAAATCATGCGTCGTGTAGTTCCTTTCATGCACCTTCAACTGCCGCGATGCATAAGCTATAACATTCCTATTCTACATCAAGACAACACCCAAACCCGAATGTGAAGCATCACAATAAA